TTCCTCGAGTGATGAAGAGATAAAGAAAAAAAAGAAGTTCATAGATCAATTATCTATGGAGTGTGCACATGTATACATATATTTATAAAGCGTACTTTCAATTCCTTGTTTTATGCGATTCAGTGATATTTGTCCGCCAATGTCTCTCACCATGAGTAGATGACCAAAGGGGACTATAGCCAATATCCATCATAGCTATTTTTTTTATATTTGTGAATTTATGATTGGTTCTATCATTTATTTTTATAAAAATAAAAACAAAAAGAGAAAAAAATCATGTATGTATATTTGTATATATGTATGTTCAAACACTATTCACACCCTTCTACAAGGCTCTTTGTTATAACTCAGTTGCTGTTACTATTGTTGTTGCTTTTGATGATGATGATGACGATGACGATGATGATGCATTGTTATTATTAGAAGTATCGGTAAATGTTGATTTGGTATATGCGTCGCTCAATTGAGCAAACTGTATTAATTGTTGTTTAATCTGAGTTGCCATTTTCCACTCTTGCCAAACCTCTGTACGAAAAGAATCAATACGTTCTCGCTTGACTTGGCCAGCACTGTTTTCTTCCATTTGCGTCAAGATATACAGCAGCATTTTGCATAGCCGAGTGAACCTTCGAAATGTCGTGTTTAAGTATTCTTTGACTTGCTTTAGTAAAATATCCGAGTTTGTACGATCATTCAATTTTTCGTTGTTTAATAATTTCGAGTATTGAGTTAATGCAGGACAAACAGTATTACTAAATGACTGCAAGTCGCATACAATTGCCTTGGCTTGGTACAAGCATCGACATACATCAATGAATGCTTTATCGTGTAAGGAGATCTGTCTATAATTTGATTTCATAACAAATAAATAATTTCAGGAGTGAAATAACGGAATAAAAGAATAAAAGAATAAAAAAAAAAGACACAAAAAAATTTTATCCATCATTTTAAAAAAAAAATATCCAATTTTTTCCATTTTTATAAGAATCCCCTATTTATTTGCCCATTTATTTTTACTCATGGAATATTAAAGAAGCTTTTTTTATGGGATCTGTTCTTACTAAAAGAAGAAGACCATTGATTTTCAGATATTATTTTAAACCCAGATGGAGTAATTTTATGGATGCTTTTAGAACATCCCTTTTTAACCAACAACTTTCCTTTTTAGTGAACTTGCGCAATTCGGATTTTAGTATCTATAGAAACAAAGAGAATAGATATACCCAATACACAACATGTATTCTTTTTTTTGTATTATATTAAAAAAAGAAGGCATGGATTATTTGTCAATTTCCCTCTCATGCCCCCTTTTCCTTTTCTCCTCCCCTTTTTTTTTTTCCCTTTAAACTCCTTTCACAAGGCAAAACGTACGATAATTGTGACCATTCTCCTTGGTCACACACGCATTTTTTTTTTCCTATTGTACTCTCTCTCTTTTTACGTCTCAACATGAACAACAAAGGATGTATGTATTTTCATTATAAATCAATAAAAATATAAATAGATGCACTATTTAGAGAGAGAAGTAATAAGAAACTTATAGTGGTCCACTACAAACAAAAAAAAAATCTGTATGTCGGAGTACCGTAAGCTCGATCGAATATGTAGGGCGGGTGATCACCACATCCTGTTCATTTCGGCAAAAGCCCGATTATTTATCCTCTGTATACATCAGTCGTTCGTGAGGATTTCGAATAATAAATGAATCATCCATTGCTATAATGTAAACCCGATGGGTCTTGACAATCATCTGGGCTGTTTATAACAAAAACGAGCAAAAGCATCTGTAATGCTAAATCCCCCATCTTCTAATTTCTTAGAAGCTTCTATTGTTGTTGTTACTATTTGCTTTCAAAAATCCATAGTGAATAAAACCAAATGACTAAATAGATCAATAGTATAACTTGTAGAATGATTCCAGTAAACAGTTGATGAGAGGAAGAGAATGTTGTATATGCGCCATGACAATCATCTTATTTAAATAGACAAGGATAGCACTCACACGATTAAAATTTTCACCAAATTCGTTTTTTTTTTCGTAATAGGTTTTTGTACATTTACAACATTTTTAATGTGTGAGTATGTATACATGTATATGTAGGACCTACTTTGATCCAAATAAAGTATTTATTCATTCTGTTTCCGAGGAGGAGGAACATTATATCACATTGACAAGTGATTCGACTTTCATGGGTGAATTACTAGCTGCTCCTTTAGGTGTATGATGTTCTTCTTTAGGTTCATCTTCACGAGCTGTTGATTTACTCATGATGTTAGTTACACGCATGCTAATCAAAAAATACAACTATTACCTTTTTTACGATGTGTATGATCGTCACTAGGCTTTCTGCGCTTCTTTCCTTCACCGTTCTGTGATCCTGCTATTTTATTTTTATACAAGTTGTATTGCCGACTAATTTCATATGTGTTCATCCAGCCATCTGGCCAGCATGATAGTAACTAATAAAGTCATGAGTATATATTTATATACTAGTCTATTTTAATCCGCTCACTCGTTGATACATCAGCTTTCTGGCCTTTCCTTCTGCCACCAGTTTCTCCGCATCCTTTGTGTTATTTGCTCCATTTCGGTATTGTCTAATGATTCATATAAGAAACCATGTGTCATGCACATACCACTTTCTTCTTACGTAATAAGGTTACTGATTAAAGTGGATTGTTCGTCTGCCTTCATAATGTCATAAAGTATCTGACGGACTTCATCTGTGTATTTAAATTTGGGCTCAAGCTCTTCATCAGGCTCAAGTGCATCGACGTCGATAAATCCATTGTTATTCGCTGCAGCTGTGGCCACTTTGACTGCTTCTATTTTTTTTTTTAAAAAAAAAAAAAAGGGGGTGAGTTTGTGGTCATATAATATATATCGCAACATGTTGACATACTTGCTTGTTTTAATGCGGCCACTCTAGCCTCATGCATCTGCTGCTGTGCTGGCATCATTTTATCGATTGTCTGTTTTAGCTTTATTGCTAGTTCATCAATTTCCTGTTGTAGTTCATCCACACGCATCTGTCCTGACTTGGTCGTGATGAATTTCTTTATATCATATTGTAATCAGTCATCCGTCA